CCTTTTACAAGAAAGTATTAAGAGACTTATTTCTTAAAACTACTAATTTAAAAGTTATTGCAATTGAAAGTTTTCGTAATGTACGTATTCAATCATATCAAAATTAATTTCAGCAAGTAAATGCCTTCAAGTATCTTTAAATAACAATAAATTTTATATTACTAATTTTTAGACGTAACTCCCTTATTACTGTCTTGTAGAAGAGAAAAAAGCGTCTCAATTATAGCATTTCAAATTATGCAGGATTATTAATATTTCTATAGTGGTTCGAACAATTTTCTCCGTGAAAATAATCAAAACTTTGGGTCTAAAGTTTTCTTGATAATTTTTCTAATTTTTAATCTAAAGTGCATTTTTTTATTAGCTTGCTCTAATATTTATCTAGTCGTGGCTGTTAATGGATACGAATCGAGCGGGCTTAGGAAAAGTAGCGTACGCCTTATCTCGATAATCCATTTATAGAGTTGTTTCGCAACGAACGTTTATCGAGTTGTATATTTCACCGCTGTGCAATAACGATTGTAATTGAACAATTTAGTGCTTAGCACTTTCACGATCGGTGACGTGTTCCACGCGCGCAGGAATCGTCGCGTTACGTAGCCCGAAACTAAGAACCGGCGGACACAGCCTTAGATCTTTTTTTTCCTTTCCGCCTTGGAAGAAAAAGTCTGGGACCATTCAAAGTGTGAATGATTTCCGTTACGCAACAATCGATCCCCCCCCGCTGGATCATTTCTTATTCGTTCGGCGTAACGTTTAAGAACGAATTTCCCAGGATCCGTGTGAATCATCGAAATACCACAGGAAGGACAACAGTTTACAAAAAAAAAAGTGACAAGGAAATTGCACGGAAATTTAACGTAACAATTTATATCCTTTCTTTGCTCCGTTGGGTATCGTCTCTTAATTTTGAGCACAGTTGTATTAAATGTACAAGTTGTATTAAACGAAATTATTATAAATAAAAAAAGAAATTAATATAAATTTTACGTAGTATGTTATTTTAATTTACAACTATGTAGAACATTTTATTTACGACGATATTGAACGTATATCATTGAAGTTCCCGCGAGGTTACGAGACACTAGCGCCATCGTTTAAACGTGTGCGCAAGGTAGATGCGCGGAAGAATTATTACCTCATATTTAAAGAAAAAAAGAGTTGATTCGGACACTCTATGTCACTCTAAGTATAGTTGACGATTAAATAAATAATTGTATCTACAACAATGTTTACAAATCGTATTAAAAGCACGAGGTGCATAATCTGTATTGTGTCGCAAGATATTCCTAACCCAGACCTTGATGAAAATCGCAATATAACTTAATGAATTATAATAAATGTTGAGATATTACAATGTCTATCCTCGACCGTTATGGTTTTCCTTATGTATGTGTGTGCTGGAACATTCTCGTCTTTCTATCGATCGGGGAACCATGCAGACGGAAAGTCCCCGTTAGGTCTTTGTTTTCCAAAAATGCGTTACCGGGCGGCTGCAGCGTGGCACGCGCCGGCAGTCCTTCCAGAGCCTCGAATGATCACGGACTTTATTTTCTTCATATTTAATTAAATCAAACTCTTTTACCTTTCGGTTCTTTTATTGAATATCCTAACTACAATAATAAACTTCTGTCCCGTCGCGTTTTCGTAACTCTCTTTGCGTGTGGCGTTCTTCGAACGACCGAATCAAGGACGTGCGTCAAGGAACGTTGAATTTCTTTAATGATACCTGTTGCGCGAAGATCAAAGAAATGCAAATCCCCGCGCATAATGCTAGGAGAAAGTTTTGCGTGCACGCGTGTTTAGCTAAAACGTACGGAAAATAGATCGCTATCTTCTGAATGCGGATAATTAAGCCACATTTTTACGCTGGTTGTGCGTACGCATGCGTTAAAACAAAATTTGCTCGATGGAAGTACGCTAAATAACGTTGAACGATCCATTTTTCGCTTACTGCGAAGTTTGATTTGATTAGACATTGCTGCTTCAACCTCCTAAATCGTTTCCTTTGGTTAAAAAACGTATTTTCAATTTATAAATTAATAATATCGTATACTTGGCAAATGGTCGGAATAATGGCGGGTTAATTGAACGCAATTTTTTGCACTCTTCCTTTACACGAGCTCATTAATCATTGCACAGGATACAGAAAAAGAACTACTGACTTTCAAATTAAATGAATATCTCTGGAACTATCAGTTATCTGACACATTTATCGTTCGCGTTCGTTAGTTTTATAAATCCATCGAATTTATTTCCACTCGGTATACATTAATGATTGCAGTATACGATAAATTCGTTTCACAATAGTGATTTTCATTCTTTTTAAAGCACTACGCGAAAGTTGTCGTAAAAAAAAATTATTATACTTTAGTATTGTAATAATTTTCAAACCTGATTGATTTACCTGAAGACTCAATTTCAAAGAGTTCTGTATCCTCGTAAATATTGTTTACAAAAGTGATTATTTACAATTTTTTTGATTTCTATTCGTTCTTAGATACATAAAAAATGTATAAAGATTTTGTAAAATTGTTGTTGAACAGGTGTAATAAACATTTTGTCAGTTCATTATTAAAACAAAAATATATAATAACAAACATAAGATGTATAAGAAATTGTAGTAAAAGGATTCTTTAAAAATATTAATATAATTGATCGTGTTACGTTACAACATTAAAAGAAATGATGACACGAGCCTTTATAATTGACGCCAGAAATTTTAACAAAACAGCATGTAATAATGTCCATTATGTGTGATTTATTAGTCTCCAATTGCATTATTTAATTAGTATTTTCGACATAAATTGTTTGGAATACTCGTTGCAACCGTGATACTTCTCAACGATATTACTACATTGTGTGTTAATTAATACACCGATCAGAAGATACAAATAATTTGCATTTTCTTTAAATATATCTCTTCTGTTTCTTGCATCATTGCGTATCGTACGACTGTTTATTTGCTCAAGAAATATAATGAACGAGACTCGAAGTCTTCAATTGTTCGTTTATGCCTAGAAATATGAAAATTTCAACGAATTTATATTATTTTTATAACAAATATACCTGTTTATGTTTATTAAAACTGAGTGTACTTAAAAGCAGTAAGAAAATAATATAAATTCGTCGAAATTTTCATATTTCTGGGCATAAACAGACAATTGAAGACTTCGAGTGTTGTTCATTATATTTCTTGAGAAAATGAACAATTGTACGATGTATTAGGTTTATATATTAGTATATAAACAGGGATATATCTGGGAGCTGTCGATTTCGGAATAGAAGGCAATGTATCGAGCGAAGCTCGCTAATAGTTCAACTTAAGCATTGTTTAACCTTTAATCGTCGGAATATTCACACGGCAGATGCTAAATGGCAAGTCCAAGGTATTTTCTCTGGTTCATCTACGACCGAGGACACTTCTCTATGCCACTTGCAATTAAACAAAGAATAAATTAACTATCATTTAATTATATATCACTATGAGTTGCTGGTTGATCAGAAAAGAAAGAAAATCAAATAAAAACATTATGCATAAGGTGGACTCCATTTTTTGACCAACGAAATCTTTATGTTGTGATTATTATTTTTCAACATTTAAAATTCGTACCAATATCTACAATAGCAAATATCGAAACTGAATTATATTTTTCTTGGGTAAATAAATGAATTTTCATCACTATATCATAACCAATTAACAGTTTTGCGTTTTCAATTTAATTTAATTCACTCATCTGATATAATTTAATACGTTTTACGTATTTCTCAAACGAAATTAATGCAATAATCTATGACTTTGGAGAAACTAAAGGAATATTTTTGTTATCTGTTGGATACGAATTATTTATAAATAAACTTTCTAAAGATAAGGCAGATTTAAAAGAGCTAGGAACTCAGTACACTTCTACAATATTTACACTTTTCATTTCGTATTGTAACGAGTGAACATAACTCGTATTTCGTTTTTGTTGCTTTTATTTCATTATTTTTACACGTATATGTCTAATTTTGTTAATCAAAAAAAAAAAATGTTACGCCACGCTCGGTGATGTTTGTTAAATAATCCGAGGCCCTTGTCAATTTCTAAGGAATAATTTACGAAGTAATGAATTCACTTGCATTATCACGACGCGCTGGTGATTAATGCCTTTGCATTCCTAACAGCTGTCACAAGTAGCCGAAACATTAATCATGTTCCCCGGGGCAAGGGAAGTTGATGCATTTTCGCGCGACAGATAAATTCGCGAAACACTCTCGAATATTTTCTGCGAATTAATTGCACCTTAAGTTAAGTACATTTAATCTCGGAAATTACAACATAGGTAACTGCAAAATCTATTTTTCATCCCAAATATCATCACTCGGATTCAAGTGTTCAACTTTTTCTAAAATAAGTGCAGATTGTAATATAAATGGTTCGGGGAACAAAGAATTTCGAATAAAATCGAAAGCAATGGCAATTTATGTGGATAATTATTGTAAAAAAAAATTCTTTTCGTTTAGTAGGCGATATAAAATTTTAGGACCTTTATACCTCGTTGGAATTACAAAATTTACGCCGTGGGAAATTAATGACAGATATTAATCGACTTTTGACAAAATACTAAACTGGCGATAATAGTTTTATTAATAAAAAAAATATTCAAAAAATTCATTTTCGATAGTGAAACAAATTTAGCCCAAAATAAGGAAGAATCTACTAAAAAAAAATTTTTACTCGCATAAAAAATTTCAAATTCAAGCGTCGATTTAATTCAAGTGTCTATGAAGCCAAAAACTATTGTAAGGCAAGAAGTACAATTTGGTAAAACCTAAGTAACAATTCAAAATCTATCTTCATTTGGAAAACGTCACCGACGAATCGAATTCTATTTTTATAATTTTTTAGAAAAATACAATTAATTATTCTACGCATCGAGGCGCGAGATAACGAGCCGTGGACCGCCCCTCAGGAAGTTGCGGATGTTTCGATCCGCTGGGTGATGTTTCGAACTTACCGGAAAAGGAAACTTCGGATCCTTCGAACGCCAAGCTGCTGACCCGACGGAACTTCTCGTCGACGCACAAGTTGAACGAGATCACTTCATACGCGTTTAATCGTGCGATATATACCGAACACGTGATACCAGGACGACTGAGCGAGCCTAAGATACGAGCCGAACTTTATAAATGGTGGGAGAAAGTGCACAGGAGGCACGGTATCGTTGATCGGCAGGTACCCCACGCTCCCAAAAGCTTCGACGTATCCACCTTGATTTTTAGTGTCGTTTCCACCTTCAGCGATGTTAACGTCTTGATACGCCGTTTTAGAAAGGATCGTACTCCCCTATTCCTTTTTTTATTTCACCGCGACACGTTCGGTTTCTTTCCGACTTTTATTTCTTACGCGCGAGTCACTCCGCGCCGCGCAACTTCGATCCTTGATCCTTGCAGAGGGGAAAGCAGCGAACCGTCGAATATGACTGTAATTTTTTTCTGATCCGTGATTCGAAATTAATTATCGAAAGTGGTCTAAAACGGTTCTTAACCACAGTCTATTTTTGAAAGTACATACATCGAAGCTCGTAGACTCTGCAAAATTGAAGACGAGATGGCACTTTGAGACGTTCGAAGACTTCGAAATCGAAAGATTTATTTTGGTTCGATGGTTTAAAGTTGATATTTTGTAAAAAATTGAATCATCTATTATTTTTTAAATATTTTTTCTACAACCTGGACGAAGACAAAACAATTCGAAACACACGCAATAGGAAATATTACGCGATCCTAAAGTAATTGCTTGAATTTAATTATCTGATTGTGAAGTAACGAAATCTACGACCAAAGTATAATTCAGGAGTTCATTCAGAGAGAAACGTAAACAAATGAGTATGTTTCCACGACGATGCTCCGTATTGTAAAACTTAATAATTTATTGTGTGAACTGCTCCGAGCCAGACCCGATTAGATGGGTTCTAATAGTGAGAACGTAGATATAACATAAGTTAGGTTGTCTTAGGATCGGATCATTAAAATGATACATGATATTATGTTACCGAATTAGGTTTATAAATGTAGTTTAAGAACGTGAACAGAGAAATGTAGAGTGCCGTTCAAAGAGCACAACATGACGAGTGGTTTTTTTTATGGGAGAAAGGGTACTTTCGAAAATTTGAAGATACGTGTTCTAAATAAATTGCACAACGATCCCGAAGAGTGGAGCAGAAGTTAAGAAACGATCAACAAAGGTTGATATATATAACATCAAGAATATGAGATATTATAAATTCATAATCAATAAACAATTCATAATCAATTATAATTTATTTTGACGAAGCGTTAAAATTTCTTATGCAAAAAGAAATCGAAAAATCTTTTACCATTTTGCGATCTGAAGCTTCGTTTTCGAGATACAATAATGCACAAATTTATATGCTTATATGTCCACGAGTCAACATCACCATTTCTTGGAATTACAAAAAAAATAAAAAGACGCGTTTAAAGTATTTTTTAGCATATTCGTGAAGTAAAGAATTATGGGGAAAAAAGCAAGGAGTTCGAATTTTTTGAAAGACTTACCGACCGTTATAGTTTAGAAACTGTTTTACCACCCGAGTAACTACCCCTTGCAACTACTGAAATATTCTTTTCACGGTGAAAAGTCGCAAAATATTTCGAACCAGTGCATCGAACTTCACTTTTACCATGAAATTTACAATGAGGAAGGAGAATCTGTTGCCTAGAGAAACCAGGGCGACAGAGAAGGCCCGTGTTTACGAAAGAAAGTTGCGTGTCCTGTCAGATCCAGCGTTCCCCAGAATGCTTTGTGTCCTTTTCGAAAGTAGAAGTGAACGTTTGCCAAAATTCAGATCGAAACCCGGGTAATACCTCCTCGTGCAAACGCGCAATTATGGCTGTTTTGCGATCGAGTCGAATCTCCTTGACACTGATTATAGCATATCCAGTACTCGACAGTTGCGGACCTGAAAATTTCTTCCTTGTTAAAACACGCTGCGCGTTTGATCTTTCAATCTTACTCACACTACTCACACACTACTCACTTACTCACACTGATGCATAGCCATCTTTTATATGAGTTCTGGCGCTTCGTATAGCTTCGGGGGTTCGAGGAAGTAGTTGACTCTAATAGCCTCCTACAATAGTGAGTGTTTTATTGAAATTTATCTATGAAATAGAGCTCATGGATATCTAGAAAAATTGATTACAAATTATCTACAAATTTATTAAAAATCAAAAACGAATTTTTAAGAAAAATCGACAGGGGGAAAAAAAATGTCAAATCGTTCTGGAAAAATTATGTTTGGTTGCGAGGGTCAATTACAATCATTTTTGGTGAATACACATGGCCCCGAAATCCTACCCATTTTCGAGAAAAAAATTCGAGTAGGTGTGCAATTTTTCGACAAAATTAAAAAATGTCAGATCGTTCTAAAAAAATTATTTTTGGTTGAAGGGGCCAATTACAATCATCTTTGGTGAATACACATGGCCCCGAAATCCTACCCATTTTCGAGAAAAAAATTCGAGTAGGTGTGCAATTTTTCGACAAAATTAAAAAATGTCAGATCGTTCTAAAAAAATTATTTTTAGTTGTAGGGGTCAATTCTAATTATTTTTGGTCAATAGACATACCCCCGAAATCCTACCCATTTTCGAGAAAAAAATTCGAGTAGGTGTGCAATTTTTCGACAAAATTAAAAAATGTCAAATTGTTCTAAAAAAATTATTTTTGGTTGAAGGGGTCAATTACAATCATTTTTGGTGGATATACATACCCTCGAAATCCTGCGCACTTTCGAGAAAAAAATTCGTGACCGAAAGTATAATTTCTGGCCAGAAATGGTTCCTCGAAATTTCATGCATGTCTTTAAAAAATCATAACTCCTAAACGGACTGGACGATTTTAATGTTTCAAAATACAAACGACGCGTATTTTAGCGTAGAATATGTGGAAATTTTAAGAATATTCGAAAAGTTGTATCTTAACCCTGGAAAGTGAGAAAAACCCCCTAAAAATGGTCCAATTTTCAAGCGTCCATAACTCGTGCAATAGCGAATATATTTCATTAAAATTTTGGGAGGAAGTAGAGTTTATGGATACCTATGAAAAAGTATTAGATAACATTTCCGTACAACGTCAAAGAAATTTATTAAAAATCAAAAACTTTAAGAAAAATCGACAGGGGGTAGATGCTGGAATTTTTCGACGAAATTAAAAATTTTCAAATTATTTTTGGTTGGAAAGATCAATTACGATCATTTATCACGTTTTTTAATGAATAATTATCGAATAATTTACTAAGTTATATTTCACCAATTTTTCTTGATTAATCGTAAAATATATAAAGCAATAAAAGTATGGTCTCGTGGAACTTTTCAATAAACTTTTTAAGTTGATAAAGAAAGAATATACTTACTTTCCAATAGATCTCTGACACATAGTTCTGGAACTTGCTATTACCCAAGGTGTATCTATAGAATATTGAAGCATACAAATTCGTTGATTTTATTTTATTTTTTAAACGCGCAATACGGTTAAGCCCCATTTTTAATCGAATTCGATAAAAATATGGATCGTATTGGACGCGGTAAGTACAATTAATCCTAATCGTGTACAAAACATTCAACAATGTTGCTCTCTTCTTAAAAACTAGTCAGTCATACTCCATATTTGAACAGTAAATCGCTTGTAACCGTGCAAAACTTGAACATTGAATAGAATTTTGTTGAAATTACTCCTCAAGACTGGACAAATGAAAAAAAAAATTTCTTTCAGGCGGGTTCAATATCTGCTTCTAAATAACAGATTTAAGATCTATGTATTATAATCTCTTATAGCAATCGATATTCGACAAATTCGGTAGACTTTCTTAAACAAAATACTATATACCACAGTACAAATCTTCGTAAGATTTATAATTATTGGAAACCAATTAATCTGAACATTTTTTAACTATTTCCTTTTACTCTCTCTGAAACTCGTACAAACGATCACACACTTTATGATTTCCATAGTTATAATGCAATTCATTCATTCCGAAATGTTACAATATCGATTATTTTTCCAAAAGTTATTGCTCATTAGGATTCTCCTATTTCGACATAATCCATCGAACTCACTCATGCAGTCTCGTTTATCGTTCCTTTCGCATTTTCGTGCATTGCTCTCAAACCGCTCAGAAAACAATAGCTCGTTTCGCTTAATTTAAACACGCTTTGTGATAAATTTCATTTATAAACTTATTCCGTTCGATTATTACGTTTCTACGTAAGACCTCCTAGGGACTACTTCTGTGGGAAAAAAAAGATGATGAAACTTGAACAAACGACGACGCACTTTCTAGCTGTACAGGGCTAGTTGTCGTTTCGAGTTCGTTTTAGCAAACTAAATTCTGGGAACTGGAGTTACTCGGTCGTCACGAACATACTAAAACCCCCTGTCGGTGAACGATTCTTTTGTAATCCGGATTCACACAAAAAAGATACACACACGACCGTAAAACATTCGAAAACACGAAGACTCTCGCTTACGTACTATACACTCTACGGGTCATTCTAAATATCGTACAACTATGGTCTACGAGAACAAACTTGCTGACGCTCCTCGCGACAACGAAACGAAGAAAGGATGCCAAAAGTAAAGAAAAGAAACAAAATGTCCCCGCTTTCTGGGCGAAGACGAAACAAACACTCATTTGAAACGCATAGTAACGGTACGATTAAGTTTGATCAGGTTCGAATACTACAAATTTCAGCTTTTCTCGCGTCTACCGCGAAGATAAACGAGTGTTCTCCGCAGTGTTCCTATACTACTTTTAAACAACGTCCCTCCGCATACAAGAGTCTCTCTGTAGCCCTTTAAACATCTACGTTCGCGGTCGTCTTTTCTCACGGATCGACGTATTTGCGTTGCTCACGCGTAGCCCCATCGCGTGCTCGTTTAATCGACTAGTCACGTTTGCAGGTGCACCTTTTATCGTTCTTATTCTGCGTCTAGTGCATAATTATTTTACTTTTAATCCCATTAACCCCCCCTGCCCCCCTTTCAACGTGCCCGTTCGTCGTCCATCGCGCTAGCAGGGCCCGGCATCAAGCGTTGAACTTCGTTCCTTTCCCCAATCACATAGCGACCCTGTAACCCGACTCAATTCGAGTAAATATCGCCAGTGTCCTCCGATTGTGGGCTTTTATCATCACACTTGTGGCCTCTATCACGCCCATCCTGCGACTCGGGCGAATCGGACGCGGCTATGTGACCAGCCAATTAAGGGGAGATTTCAACGGTACGCCTTTGCCTTTTCCGCCCAGGCAAACAAGTCCACGCTGGGGATCGCTGTTAGGTCCGAGCACAATCTCAGCTCGTTTTTACTGGAAAACAAAAATTCTTCCGTTTATAAGCGATTCACAGCCAACTCTGATGAAAATTAGCTTCTGATCCTAAGTGACGTAGTCTCTTTTCTTGTGGGATTTGATGTACCCTTTCTAGATTTGAGACGTTGAAATTAATGAAATGGGAGCTTTGTTGCCTCAACCCCTAAATATAATAATTCGTATTTTTAAGTGTTCCTTATACTTTTGCATATTAAGTGCATTTTGTAGGTTTTTTAGAATTAAAATTTCCCACAAATGCATAAACATTCACAGTCTAATCGTAACAGATATGGTAGCACTCTGGAACGTAAATTCTTTCTTGTAAATCAAATATAACTTCTAACAGACCAAACGGTAATCAATTTGTAGAGGTTAATGAAATAAAAATTGTACGATAAATTCGACTCGAAGTACTCTAACTATACTATAAAGAATGTAGTTACCATATTTGAAATACTACTGTAAAATGTCAAGGATATTCACATAAACAAGGAGATTAATATACAGGATGTTCGCCCACCCCTGGGAAAATATTAATGAACGATTCTAGAGCCCAAAATAAAACGAAAATCAAGAATATCAATTTCTTAATTGAAATTTCATTAAAAAGTTTTAAAAAAATTAAATTAAAAAATTTCAAATCCTTCTGGAAAAATTATTTTTAGTTGTGCGGGTCAATTCCAATTATTTTTGGTCAATAGACATACCCCCGAAATCCTACCCATTTTCGAGAAAAAAATTCGGGTACGTGTGCAATTTATCGACAAAATTAAAAAATGTCAGATTGTTCTAAAAAAATTATTTTTGGTTGAAGGGGTCAATTACAATCAATTTTGGTGAATACATATACCCCCGAAATCCTACGCACTTTCGAGAAAAAAATTCATTACCGAAAATTTCATGTCTGACCATACCGTTGATATGTTTCACTGAAATATCATGTGAATCTTTGAAACATCATAACTCCTGGACGGATTGGACGATTTTAATGTTCAAAAATGCAAACAACGCGTATTTTAGTGAAGAATATGTAGATATTTTAAGAACATTCGAAAAGTTGTATCTTGACCCTGGAAAATGAGAAAAACCCCCTAAAAATGGTCCAATTTTCAAACGACCATAACTCCTACAATAGTGAAGGTATCTGATTGAAATTTTAGGAGAAAGTAGAGTTCATGGATACCTACAAAAAAGTATTGGACAACTTTTCTGTACAGTGCCAACCAAATTTATTAAAAATGAAAAACTAATTTTTAAGAAAAATCGACAGGGGTATGCCTAAATTTGTCGGCGAAAAAAAAATTCCAAATCGTTCGGGAAAAATTATTTTCGGTTACGGGGATCAGTTACAATAATTTTTGGTGAATACACATACCCTCGAAATTCTACACACTTTCGAGAAAAAAATTCGAGTAAGTGGACAAATTGCCGTTCTACAGCCGGAACTTTAAACGATCATAACTTTTTAACGAAGCCTCTATCAACAAATTGGTATTCTTGATTTTCGTCCCATTTTGGTCTCTAGAATCTCCCATTACAATTTTTCCTGGGGTTAGCCAACACCCTGGATATATGTATACATATTCTAAACATAATGACTTACCCTATTTGTGGCTTAAGGAAAACATTAAGCTGCATGTGTGTAATGTTGTTGCCATTATCGCAGAATACTCTTGCCAATGTTACGTTGCGAATCTCTGCCAGTTGTTCTATAACAGAAATGAATAAATATTCAAAAAACGGCACCACTAAGACGACCATAATTCAAACTGAAAAAGGAGATGAAAAAACAGTGTTTAATTCTGTCATGTCAATTTTAGCGTACAGTTGCTCAGTATTAAATTAAATTTTTGTAATGTCTATCATATGTCTAAGATTCGATTATCTCTTACCTGGTGTGAAAGGATATGGCTGATAAATGGAATCGTAGAAGTATCTGTCTGTGCGACGAGTTCTCGAAAATTGTTCAAAGATCAAACAGCGGAAAGTGGGTCCCAACAACCCATCGTCTATTGGCCTCTCAGCCATTCCGCCAACAATAAGATCGACGTCGTTAGGATGAGCGTACGTTGTCCGTAATTTCTTCACCATCTATCAACAACGAAGAACAGTAATTTTTAATAATCGTTGCAACAATTCCACGATGCTTGTTTTCGTTTGGAACTCTTTCCAATCCTCTCGATGGAATCGTATGGTAGTACCAAGTTTCTATTTTTTTTTTTTTAGATATTCACCTCCAGTGGAATGTGATCCAGGAAGTCCTCGAAGTTCTTCGCGGCCGGAAGTCCGCAGTATTTACGATAGTGATTGTAACCCGGTAAACCGTGATCGCGACCACGTTGAATGTCCAAACTGATGGCGTCCAAACCAAGATGATTGCCTCTACTAGCGAACAATTTGCTCGTCACCTGCAAACCGCAAATAATTATTCCTCAGACAAACAATTTTTCCAAAGGAACCAGAGCTTTTGATTAACTCTACTTAACTCGTCGTGATTTATAAAACTTTTAACCTAACCCAGACACATATATGTCCATCTTTGCATTGTAACAATTAGTGAGGAGAAAAAGCTCTTCCTTGATCCACCATCTTACCATCTAACTACTCTCTACTTCATGGTAGTAATTTATACTCACGTCTGAAATTATGTTGATGTCCATTTTCTGGGAGGTCTGGGTAGCCATACCACGAAGCAGCCCGTCGAACACTTCGTCTGACTCGATCACGCTAGGGTTGGAGAACGATTCCGTTAGCGAGAGCGTCGTGTTCACCTGGCGCGTGTCGTCCGTCAAGCTAGAAAAGTAAACATAGAACATACTATCGCAATTATGGTAATTGTATTCGATAAATACGTTGAAACAGCAACTGGTGAATCGATAAGTAAACATTTTGACGTTTCCTTTAAGCATGCAATTAATTTAACGTGAAAGGATCTTTCATAGAAACGATCTTCTAGTCGCTCGAAGCAATATTAAATTAAATCTTGTAACTTACCGTAACTGTCCTTGCATCAAGGAAGTCAGAAAACGCAGAGCCGCCGTTGCAACCTCGTTACTGACTGCTGGGTCGTCCGCGGAATTATAGTTATGACTGTAACTACTTCCAACGCCGAGCCCAACAGCTTGAGTGTGCCTCTTGCCAAGCAGTATAGGCAACCATTCCTTGTAAGTGATATGCTGAATTTCAGCAATAACTATTCGCCTAGCTTCCTGATAGACTTTCTCCTCCGACCAATACTGGTTCATCTCGGCGAGCTTCTCGGCGATTCTGTTATGCTCGCGAAGCCAGACAGTGTGCAACACGGCCAATTGGGGGTGTGTGTTCACACGATGATCGCCTGGTGGTGAATATTTCAAAGGAACGATTAATTTCGAACGAAGAATGTTCGATTCACCGAGTAGAACGAGAAAGAGGATTTTACAATTAGCAAATATATACAAGATGTTCTGCCACCTCAGGGAAAAAGTCACAGATTTATACTGTTGCAATTATTGCATTCCTGATGTACCTACCACGTCTATTTATTTCCAGAGGAATTTTTAAGTGGAAAGAAATTTCATTTTATGTTTGAAATCGAAGATAAATGAGACAATTAATGTAGTCGAATCGTAATAACGAATTACTCAAAAATAATAGTTACCAGTATTGTAACAGTCTTCGTCACACTCGAACAATGTTTCCAAACTTCCGGCAGGCAAGAAATCGTGATTGTTTTCTTTGCGAACCCGTAGTCGTCCTGTTTGGAACGTACGGAGTTCTCGAGATTTTGTTACGGTAGAACCATAAATCATCGAACCATCCAGGAAGTGGCTCGCCTGATTCATCTATCGATCGAAAATTGTGGTTTATTATCAAGCCAGTAAAATATATTTATAAATCAAAAATATATATTTGTTGCAAACGTAATATAAAAAAATAGAATAAATTGTGTTATAAATACAAGTTTATAAATTGAGATTACAATTTGAAATAATAACCCTCCACTTGGGGTAGCATATCAATGAAATTTATTTATGGGTTCAAGGTGATGAATATATGCAAGAAAAATTGAGAAAGAGAATAATAAAATTTACCAAAATTAATCTTGTTCCAATTATAAATACTGTCAAGAAATTCTATAAAAAAATAATAGAAACAAAATATATTAACCTGTTCCACGGGTCCAAAAGTGCACTCGGGTCTAAGAGCAGGCATCGATCGTACATAATTCATGCATCGAACATAATGCTCGCCATAAACGGGATCCCTTTCAGACACCGTAATCGCTGAACAATCGGGATGAATGTGTCGCGGAGACAAGGTACTTCCGTCCGATCGACAGCACGAAATTGGCTTTCCTGATGACACTGAAAACAACAATTACAATTAATTGTATGATCAGTTAAATTTTAAATTTTAACAGAATAGTTAAAAGTGTAACAATAACTGTTATACGAGAACTATTCGAAATAGCAGTTTTCATCGTAAACGAGCCTTACCCATCTTGCGCACCGGCGTGTAAGAAAGGTCGTTTGCAATGAACTGTCCCCATTGCATAACCGCCAACGTTCTACTGACATCCGACAGATCGTTGGAAGTCAAGAGAGCCACGCTTATGCTCCTTGCACCGGGCAGCGGCTTTCTGGCGTGCCCCATGTGCCTCGGTTCTTGAATCCCTGGTCGCCAAACAAAGCATTAGACACTCGAAATCCCACTGTGATTTCACGTCGTCGAATCGGAGTAAATCTGCACTACGTCTCAACAAATGTCCATACATCGAACGTGATCTTTCACTTTGCAACGTTTCCTCGCTCCAATTCGAGCATCATCGGTGAAACGATGACGGTTTGAATTTTGTCCACATTTAACGATTACTCCGATTTCCACGAGATCTGTCGCGCGTGCGTAATAAACATGTCCGGTGCAGCGCGAGAGCGAGCCACGATTTGCGCGTCTCTGATCGTTAATGACAGAATCGAGGTAGCCCTGTTCGAATCTCGCGCCTAGCCGCGCGCGCCTAAACCTGCCTCGATCCGCGACCCCGCGTCGACGATCGATTGTCGACCTCGATAGATCCCCTGCCTCGACTGGCAAACAGCGGCTCTCGCGCTGCAGAGCACAAGTATGAGATACTTGCTTCTACTTCGACATGACGTTCTGATTGCGTTGTCGACGGGACGCGTTCAGACCTTGTCTAATTGAGAACGACGGAATGTTCATGCGTGGGCAAAAATTTGTTCAATTGCCCGAACGATCGCGTCGAGAACGCTCGCAGAAGGAATCAAGTGACTTATCTAGGTGGCTGATGAAGGTGCCCAAGCGAGAGAATCAAACTGAGAGACGAATATCTCAGCGATCTGTCGGATCCTGTGCGTCGTAAATTTCTTTGAATATCGAAAGGAACAGGAGATACCGCGAACGTCTCCCAATTTCCGCTTCTCTGGCTCGGACACCTTTAACGAGACCCGTATACCGCGAACAACAGAAAATATTTGAACTAGTGTTACAAAAATAAATATGATACATTATTAGGTATATCCGAATTAGTTTACATACACATTCTACTGCTGGATAGAATCTCCCGACCGGGGCACCCTATTGTAGACAGTATTATTCACTGCTACACTCAGGCATTTTATGCTCTATGTGCCTTATCGCACAACAACTGTAATGCAAATCACAGAATATAATTTGTTAAGCCAATCGACGAACGTTTTTCTTTTTTCTTTTTTTTTTCTTATCATCCATTAGCGCCCAAGGATCAGAGTGTATTCGTTAAAATCTTTTTTGCTTTGCTTTGGATGTTTCGTGTGTAATGTGTATCTGTCTGATTCTCGTCTGTGTATGTGTGTGTGAGTATATGCGATCGTTGCAAGGTGTCGATGTGAGCGGATTGGGTGGGTTAGTAGGTCGAGGTTGGCGACTCGAGTGTACACGATATTCGTGTATAGAGAACAGCAATTTGTTGTATTGCTAGGCTGAACCTTTAGAGATCTCGAAAAAATGGCCGACAAATAAAGCCTGACGAAGAACCAAATGATATCATGATAATTGTAACCTGTCGTTAAAAGAGAACCCATTCACACCTCGAGAGAAGAAGTTAGTCACACCGTGATCGATCGAAAGTAATCTTTTATCTCGAACATGGTGAAAATTATGTTAAAAAGTTAAAACGTGCAAGATGTCCTAGAACTACATTTGAACGGAATTTCGATATTCTAAGCGTGTGTTGCTTTGCATCATTTCTTTAAAAACTATGATACATCCTAATAAACAGGAGGCGCAAATCTAATCAATGTACACAGTTTCCAAACCAATTCTAGCTAAAAATTTTAACCTTCGAAACTGCAGAACGACACAATGACTGGAGCAATACGCTTTTGGGATACTTTGCGTACATAGTTGCACTCTTGAAGAGTCACTCATTTAAACGAAAAACTGCGATAAGAAAACGCAACTGCAGTGATTTAACACTAAACCTACCACGACCGGTCAGTAGCTTGCCTTGCTAAAAATGAAAACGAAAGGTCATTTGACCGGTCATGGGAGGAATATACACGAAGTGTCGGTAGGTTTAGTGTTAAATATCCTGGATCGTCGGCCATTGTCCCGGAAAGTTGATGTCTCGAGGAAAGTGTAACAGAACCGTGAGAAACGAGAGATAAAGAGCTGAGAAAACCAGATATCGCGGAGGGATCAGGACAGATGAGAGATGAGGAGAAGGAAGCGCCAAGCGTTCAGAGGCTGCAAATAATTGTACGATTATTATTCCACACAAATAACGGTAACGCGGTAAACGTTTGGTGCATCTCGAATCTTCGTTACTCCCGTCCTAATCGTAAGCCCGTATTAGAAAATGGTGGACCCGAGGGGACGGAAACGATAGACGCTGGACAAACCGATCGCGAGTCGTGCCGCTAACGATCAACGAGACCGATGATACCGGATCGCGGGGGCTCGCGTGAACGGGGATACTAAATGAAAATGTCCTATCTTTAACGTCACACGGTAGGGAGGGGATCCTTACCGTCGAAATATTGGGGGAAGAGAATTCTGGTGTACGCGGTCATCGCACTACCCCAACTTGGATTTTCGACGTTATTGCAACTGCCGTCGATGGTTCGATATTTGGCGTTGGTTTTACAGTCAGTGACTGGCGACGTCGAACAGGCAGAGCTCAAGAGTGTGCCATGGAGCGGCAGCGTCGATATGAAACGCACGCAATCGTCCTTGTCCAGCCCGAATCTGCAAAAGACAATAAACGTTGCTTCGCTTTTTCGAAAACTCGCGCGCTCGTTGCGCGAAATTCGGGGTTCGACGGAGCCCGAGACAACTCGGAACGATTCGGGTCACTTCGGGTGTTCTCGGTACCACTCGTCCTCGAGATGTATCGGGCTCCGCCTTAACGCTTTGATCGTCACGAAAAATTCATTCTCGAGTTGAGAGAAACGAATTTGAATGGAACTTGTGAATTGCGGCAAGGTTACAAAAATAAGTAAAACAAATTTCTAGGTTATGGTAGCTTACTATAGTTTAGAATTAAAATTTAGCAGAATATTATGTCACTGTGGAATCAGAAAAACTAATTCTCGAGTCGAGTTACAAAAATAAGTAAAACAAATTCTAGGTTATGTAGTTTACAATAGTCCAAGATTAAAATTTTGAAGAATATTATACTGTGGAATTAGAAAAATTAATTTTCAAGCTGAGACGTTTGGAGAAATAAATTTAAATAGGATTTCTGAATTTTAACAAGGTTTTAAAAACAAATACTGAAACAATTTTTAACTTTGTTTTGTCTTTAGTTCGAATAAAGTGTGTTCAAATAATTTTTTATTTCAATTGCTGTATTGATATATGTAATTTCTCGTTCGAGCAAAAATCTTTGAGCAGGTCATTCGTTTTCGATCCTTTGGGGGAAACTTTTTTATATTTTTATGAAGGTTACCCATGGATCGACGAAGTTCTGATGGTTGTGTGTTCAAACACGACCTCGTTTCAAGACTATTTTTAATTACTCGTAGTTGGAAGCAATACAAACAATGTGTAACTAAACATAGTCTGAAACCTCGTTAATCCATTGCTAATACTATCGTAAAAAAAAATAAAAAAATACTTGTTTCACATCGGTGATTCGATGTTTCGTGGTTAAAAATAAAAATATCTACTTTGCTTTTGAAACGAACGCGATTTTTATTATTTTATTTGAAAGAAAAAATTACTGTATTCGCATAGCATCAGACAGACACGTTACTGGCATAATTTTATCGATTACCATTAAACACGACAAAGTGTCTCTTCTTCATAAGCGCCGTTTCTGTTGTGTTCCAATAACACAAAGTATCTTCAAGGAATTCTCTATTGTGCAAAAAGATATTTCTATTGGGAATCTTTCAATTCTATTCTAAATCAAGATTAAATTATAGAGATATGGTGTAAATCTTGGATTCCTCGATAAAAAAAGCAAATTCGATTTATAAAAATTGCCTTCTGGAGATTAACTTCGTTCATCTCGAGTTAAAATTTAATAAAATTTCAGATACGAAATGTTGTAAATAATGAACCAGTATAGAAAGTTCAGCAAAAATAATCTCTGTAAAGTATTTTCCTTAAATATTCTACTTTAAATGCCAAACAAACAGTGTTGATTAATATTTCCGTACAATCTTCCTTTTGCACAATTACCCTTCTCTTCCCAGAAACCATGAGATCATTGTAAATGTAAGGTACATGTTCCCATTACGATGCAGCTGATATCAGAAAAATATCCAACATTTAAATACAATAAAAAACGTTCAATCAAACATGTTGCCCATCGAATGTTTGCAAACTTATCTCACTTTCCACCCATCTGTACTGTTCAAACTCCTGCTTCGACGTGAGCTTCAAAAATGGCTGACCGTCTGTTTGCATGAACCTTTTCCACCGTTTCTAAACGTTTGATCGATTCGTGAAACAGCTACGACCGATTACGCGAACATTGTACAATTTAATTAAATAAAAGTGGTCAACTAGAACCGACTTGTGTCTTCGGACCTAAGAGGTATATTACCTGCGGCAGCTCTGGTGAAGGAGATAGGACGAAGCTTTCGTCGCTACAATGGCGTCGAGGCCTCTCTTAAAAGCATCCTCGGAAGGATAAGAATCAAGGAATTGCTTTCCAACCGGCGTGTGAGCCTTCACTTCGACGCCAGCGTTCACGATATTCCTTTCGAGGGTGCTCATACGATTGACCAAGCTTTGCGCGAATGTGATCGAGTTGTTCAAGACTGCCTCGTCAATGTGAGGTAAACGCCGATTTTGGAAACGACCCGTGTCTACGACGACTTCGTAAGGGTAGTTTGACAGCGGCAAACCTGAAAGGATCCCTTGAAAACGTCAGTAAAAAGGATTCGGTCGCTCGGATGGGTTCGCGTATTTAAAGGGGGAAGAGGACCAAGGATTATTTAAGAAAAAAAAACTATTGATCCTGTCCGTTTCAAATTTTCACCACGTATTCGTGTATACACCGAGCACTGGTGCAAATTTTTACGAGCACCAATGACCGTTCGTTCTCGAATTAAACGTTGTTAACGGAGCACGTGCAACGCAAGTTGCCTGATGGCGTCCATTGTTTTTAAAGCAATGTGAAGTGAAATATGTACGATAACTTAATATTTTGAATCCTCTTCGTTAGGCACTCTATAGTGGTACTCTTTATCTTTATAGCTATGCTAACAGATTATTAAACGTTATTAAGGAATTCCAGCGAGATATCTAAAATCCAATTGTGTTAATTTTTTTTAATTACGTACTTTTATTATCTCGTTTACTCGTTCTCGTAATTCTTGAGCTAATAATCGACGATTTTTTAGCTCTTCGACATTACTTTTTTCCAATGTAATCTAATAATCAGGCGAATTCGTTGTATATTAGAGGAAGAGTGTGATAAATTTTAGTTCCATGAAATCTGTATATATCAACTATCTAGCACACCTAGTCTTTTCTTCAATGTTGATCGAGAAATAATAATATTAAAATTTATTGTCAGTGATCCAATCAAACAGCGAATAAAAATCTGATCCGTTTAATCTCTATTTAAATATTAAAAAAATAAAGGTTCGAATTAATATTATTTCATTTTCTCTATTTTAGGTGGAAGCTGGTGCTGTATAATTTGCGACGAGTCTCCAAAATAGAAGTATCAAATATATTTGTAATTACTCGTAAACGAAACTAAATTTAGCTGTTCGATTTTTTACTTATTTCTATTATTTTTTATTTTAATTAAAGTAAGGTATTTTTTTCAAATATATCATTTCCAAAGTACTTACAAAGTAAAGAACCTAAAAAAAAATTTAACAGGCTGCAATTTGTGCAAGAAATAAATGTAAATTGAAAAATTTTTAAAATAGCCAAATCAGGCCAGTTTGCCAGTATGTAAAGGTCAAATTTTTCGGAACAAAAATTATTTTAGCTATCGTTTGGTCAAATAATACTACGATACTTTTTTTTTGGTCTATTGCTTGAATAGACTTGCCCCATCCCTGAGAGTCGAACTTATCATCGAGAGTGAACTTACGATCAAGTTTTCCTTCGATAAAAAAGGCAGGAAAGCAATGACCCACTTACCTGCGTAACTAACGAGGTAGTTCTGCAAGGACACCGGCAACTTGTAAGCACCGATAGAGTGCGAATTGCCAAGGAATCCCATGGTCTGCAGGGAGACCCATAGGACCGCCAAAGTCACCACGGAACCCGCCATTAGGCTACCTGCTGCAACAGAACGAAACGATTCATTCGCGTTTTACTCCTCATTAAAGTTTCCTAACGAATGATTCAACGCGTGCGTATCAACGCGCCACGCACATGTTTGCAGAATCGATCCGAGGCTGAATTTTCGTGTCGTTTTTATCACAAAAAGCCGGGTGTCGCAATCGACTCCGTGGCCTGGATTTGCTAGCTGAATCGTTTCTGATAACGAACGAAGCACAGCATTTGTTTCGTTACGTCCAACCGAAAATTCAGCCATTTTAAAGCAAAAGAAAACCAAGTGCTATTCATTGATATTTAAATTACGTAAACTTTTAAATTAGCTTCGAAGACGCGACGAAAATTTGAAATAGCCTCAAGTATTTCAAGTTTTGAATATTTTTATTAACGGTCGTGGATGCCAATCGGTGTTAATAACGTACTGTTAGTAAATAACACGTGGCTTCAGGCGTGTTTACATCTCTATAGCATCATATCTAATCACAGAAATATAAATAGGAATACAAATCTCTGGTCGATATTTTTAAATAGTTTGGATACTTAATCTGGTATCAACAACCACAATTAACACTCTGACGGCTAAAAAATAATTACAAACAAATATCTAGAGACTTATGAATCAGACTTCTGAATTTTCAGTAATTTTCCCAAATACTCACGTTAACAAATTTTGAATAAACGTTCTCAACGATTTGGAGAATTGCGAAACAAGAGAGTTGCAAGTTCGCCACTGTCACGATCGATCAATTTTCTACCGTTGTTCGCGACGATATAAGGAAAAACGTGGTTTGCTCCCTCCTACTTATACTATAGATAAATCATCCTCGGAATAAAGAAAAATCTCTTGTGTCGGGGCTCAGCGAACGTTCTCGTTTGAAGCACTATAGATAACTGAGTTTATTTTCCTCCGGTGTATTCTGTTTTATACGATCGCCGGAGTAACGTCGTCATAAACTCGTTGTTTACAATTTTTTACCCATTTTATCCCCCCTTTGTTTCAATTCTGCGACTTAATCAAAATTTGCGCGCTTATGATTGCTAATTTATGGCTTGTTTATTCCTGGCGTTAACCTTTACGATTCAAATTCGTCGCGCGTCGATGTGTTTCCCTATTCCCAACGTCGAATCTCCACGACGAATCGTGCACCGTAAACAAGACAATTTTTTATTTTCTATTGCGTTCTACTAAGCATCGATTTCACAATTCGCGTGGTGGTCGAGAAATAGTGTCTCGACCACCACTTTCGTGTACGAAAACGATGACATTTTAATAATAGCTAATAGTTCCCAAAATTTGTAGAAGGCGACCCCCTTGAAAAGAACAAATTTCACTTGTCTTTTGTTCACGAGGAATCACCCTATGCCAGGTTGTACCACGAATAACGGAATCACCTTGTATATGGAATCGAGCACTCGTCGTTTTATCATCCGAAAATTCTCTTGCAGCGTGTGGATTAGATGCGAAATCCTTGTGCAAATACAAATCGAAAACTCCTTTTCCACTTTACGATCCGAGGCTTCGTTATCAAGATACAGGCAGTTAAACTTTTTGCGCGCGAGAACGGTTTTCGAATTCAACTGCGCATGCGCGGTCACGCGGTCAGCTGACTGGGAATATCACGTCGGTAATCTTTAACTGTTAATATCTCGGTAACGAAGCTTGAGATTGAAAAATGGTAAAGGACTTTTCGATTCCTTTTTACGCAAGGAATCGACTCCAATGAAAGTCCCTCGTTTTAACAAACATCTAAACAGCGTAAATTCAAATGAATTTATTTTTTTTTGCTTCTTAGGATGCAACAACTTTCTCCTAGACACTGTCACATGATTCACATAAATTTAGGAATGAAAATTGGTGGTGTCATGGCGGATGAGAATAGACACGATCTTTCGTAACACAAACCAGACAGACTATTCGGAAACTGTAAACGACACTTGTCACGATCTTTGTTAACGTTCTTCAAAGTTATTTATATCGTCGGTTGCTGGTTCCCGATAATCTACATAACTGAAGTTTCAAAAGGCGTTGCGTCACACGTCATTATGCGTTACAGCTGTTGCTCGTTGGAACGCTCAATCTGCATTTATGATGAACTGAACGCGTTGGACAATAGATCCAATAATAGAAAAAAAATGTTAATGCCAGTACAGAGTATGATAGAACTTCACGAACTTTTGACTTAAAAGCTGGTATATATTCGCGAATGGGTACTGCACAAGTGATACAGTTTGACTATATTTAAGCTATATTCTATCCAAATTTATGTACATGACAGAGTGTGTAATACTAATTTTTTAAGAGCAATGAGAGTAGAAGCAATTGTCAATATACTCCAAAACCAACTCTTGCAGTTGAACAAAGAAAGAATATCTTTGCAAACGTTTAAAAAATACAAAAATCCTAAATGTTGAAAAGTAGGGATTTCTCGATAATAGTTTCCATCTTTTATTGAAACGTTCATGGGAATATTTCTCACCATTCTGAAGATATCACAGGGAAAAGGAAATTATAGTTTTCGAATATTTCCTTTGTTTGGACCTCCAGATCCTTCAACCTAACCCAGAATATATTCTGCTCGGAAAATAAGCGCCGTACAATTGAAATTATACGCTCGTGAATGAGATTCGTATGATAATTAATAGTTCATCGATGCTGCTTTGCAACTCCTATTCTTTTCCATTGAGCCGTTTAAATTCGTCTGTGGCTAAAATTAAACGTCAAATGGCACGAGGAACTGTTTTCGATTAAACGCAAATATCCAATTGAATATTAATCGAGATTTGAATGAATCGATGGATCGAAAAGAACGTCTCGGTTTCCATCGTCGACGATTAGCTGGAAAATTACGAATCGTCTAAGGTCTGCAAATGCATTGTCTCGGAATTTACAAACAGTGAAGAGTTTATCAGATTATGGAAAAATTCCAACGTTCGAACGTATAAGAATGTTAGCATTGTGTGTCATTGGTTCGACGCGATAGCGGAATATAAACAACGATAAGGTAACGATAAAGATAGTAATATTACGTAGCACGCGTTTTGTAAATAGCATCGGACTGCGTAGCCGTAATTTAAAAATATTTAAAAATAACTAAAAATCTATTCAACCAACGCTGTACTATTAATAATCAACTATTTTATTTTCACTTCGAATCTAAAAAATAGTCAAAGATGACTGATAATATTCGAACAGGCAAATATTCTAAGTGAAATCTTAAATTATTCGAACAGTACCAAGCTCTATTTCTAACAAGTCGACATTTTTAGAAGTACTAGAATAGCAACTCTGTATTCTAGATAACCAAGACCTTAACTGTGAAATTGTTTCCAGCAGAAATAAGTGACAGTTAGCAATTTTACCATTGAAACTAATCAAAGGCGACGGGTCCCGTATTACTTGCATTATCTAGAACGCATAGTGCAATCGTCAACTATTTACAACTACTGCGATCGTCTGTAAAATTCAGAGTCTGTGTGTTCGTGATTTGCCTATAACTCCTACTATTTTTGTCAAATTCGGATGAAATTTTGTTCAGTCGCTCTTTATTCTCCAACGTGAAATATAGGCTGTTTAATTTGCGAAAATATTAGTTATAAAACAGCCTACGAGGCATCGAACGAACGAAAGTTCTTTATCGAGGCACGGAAAAATAAGTTTATCGTCGATCTAATTTTATTCGAAACGAACGTTTGCAAATTCCAGCAGGGAAGAATATTTTCGTTTATGTAATACCAAGTACGGCGCGAAGCTAGCGCCTATAAAGAATCGCAAACAGACCTTGAATTATGCATTGTGTCGTTTCCACACGATGCGCGTTGCATAATAATCAATCGTTCGTTTACGATCGCGTTCTAGACTCTTCGGAAACAGAAGATGACCGTCTTTAAAAGGTTACCAATTTCACGTAAACACGCCTCCATTTTCTGTTCAAACAATATTGGCACGTGTTACGATATCGGGTAAATAATCTTTGCAGCATGATCGATAATGTGTGGCGTTTGCAAAAAGGCGACGAAAGCTCGCGAAAAAATCAACGTTGGCGTATAAAATTTAATGAATTTTTTTGGCAAAACACGATGCAAGAATAATCATCTGGAATAACAAGTTAAAATACAAATATAAAGCAACGTTGAAGAAATGTTTTTCTAAATTGAAAATGTCCCTTTGAACTTTGTAATATTACTCATCTTCACAAAATGGAGCTTCTTTCACTTTTTCTATTTTTTTTTTTACAAATATTCGATAATTTGTAGTGATCTCGTTTATAAACATTCCAACTTCTGTACTATAGTATACGTATGTAAGATAGAGGGATTTAGAGTCGATTTCAGTGTACTTAAAAATACAAAGATGGCGGATATTTGGCGTAGTTTTAGAACACGTGGATATACAATGGAAGACTACTAGAAGTATCAGAATAATAAACAAAGGAAAAGATAGAGAGATTTACTTTTGTCGATGTTTATCTGAAAGTCCTTTATTACCTGATAATGAAAATTAATTAATAAAACGCAGCAATTAAAAATTTCCTTTATTTGCGTGTTTCAGTTATCGTTAGAATGTGTATACTACTTGGGAATTTCAACAACTTTTAATTCTGTCTCAACGATACTTTTGTACATAATATAATGCAATATATAATTACCATTGTATACACGACTGAACGTAATAATAATAACAATACAATTTTTCTAATATTCAATAACAAATTTTGAGAAGTCTTTTTCACTAAATTCTTGTTTTTCCCCCGAGGAATAAGTTTATTTCTCGCCACATACTTTTTCCTCAAATTCTTTTGCTCTCTAGAAATAGCTACTTTACAGTCCAACTATTATTAGCACGTGCTTTGAATATATTGTTATTGAACTATACCCTTAAAATACTATGATAATTAAGTTATATACAAAAAAGAATTTATTGTTCATTGCAGAAAATTTTTTTGTTTATTCTCTTTAACGTTAATAGCCTTGGATATATAATCTTGCTGTATAGTCGTAGATTACGAACCGGTACATTTCCTACGAAGTGTCTAACAATTTTCATGCAAACAAAATTTGCTCCAAAATACAAGCTTGATAATCTGGTGAAATAACCAGTAAAGTCTAATCAGAACTACACTTTGTTTAGTATTATTATTACGGTATTAACGATTGTAGTTATCAACCAAAGTAGACTATTTAATTTAATTACTAAATGGAGATAATACTAAGTTAACACAGAAACATTGGGCAACGTTTGAAAGATCTGTGTGACCTCATCATAACTGAACCACTAATTGCTAATTAAGTCACACGGCGTGTTCACAAACACACGGTGTATAACTTTGGACAGAAACATCAGAAACATATTAGTAAACATCGGTTCGTAAGTCAACCATCAGCGTTGGAATAACGCAAAGGCGAAAGGCTGTTGGAATAATAAATTATCTTCTTTGATGGAGCATTATTTTCAGACAACTGTCCGTCAAGATTACTCGAATAAACAAGTATTTCTTTTTGCAAATTATTCTCTCATTTCCTTCCTAATCAAGTCTTTATCATATTTTGCATTGACAGAAATTTATTTATGAATAATCAACGAACGTCTGATATCTCAACTAGACTAGAATGTCAGCAACCGAAGTCGTGTTTGGGATCATTTTTATCGGGGGACCCATCTCGATCGATAATAATACAGAGAATTGTTGCCGATAAGAGATATGCAACACGTGATCGATTTTTCAATCACTGTAATGATAAGCTCGCTACCTACCCCGTATTCGAGAAAACTGGTCTCGTTACTTGATAGCGGGTCGTACCAACTTTCACTAAACCGAATAACTGAATATTCAAGTATCGAAAACCCTATCCTTTCTTCCTACTTTTGTAACTAATAGAATTCTGCCCACGTGGCAAACTTGAGCAACCCAAATAACAATCAAACCTAATTCTATTTGTTTACCAATCAACACACCTAAAAATGGCATTTTGATCAGTAAACAAAAACCCTCTCTGACGGAATTGCTATAATTTACCAAACACCTGGCCACAGTGTCGTCCTTGCAGAAATAAGTCACCAGAGCTCCAGCACCAATCAAGGCCTCCATCTCATTCGGGCGGGCGTCATGTTTGGTATCGGAGCTCGTGACTTTCTCCTAGACGGACCGAGAATCACTATGGCCGGGTGTACCATAGCCTCGAGAACACGATCCTAACTTAAATCGGTTTAAACACTCGTTATTGTATTGTTTTTATTTAAAGAAAAAGAGGATGAATAAATGTTCAAATTACCGGACACATGATCCATAGGTTTCTCCAAACCGTGCATCGTGTAGGCCCAGCGATTGTTGTCGACCGGCGCGAGAAGAAACATTCTCTATCGAAAAGCTAAACAGCTGCGTTGTACACGGTGAAACGGTAATTCCGTATACTACCGAAACATCAAGTAACTTCAAAACGATTTCGACTCCCGAATCCCCTCTTTGGCTGATTCTCGAAACGTACTCGATTTCTTTTCGCTCGTTAACTCGCGGCCGCGAACGGAAACTCCTCGCGTGTGCACGACCACCTGGTGAAGCAGGTGCAAACGAGAAATTTTTTACTCGCGGATACGCTAAAGTTGCGAAAACTACGCAGAGGCGAGCCAAGAGGCGCGTTCGAGGGAGCAGGGACGACTGAACGCGCGAGCACCGTGGCCACAGAGCCTAAGCGAATCTCTGCTCTCTCTCTTTCCATCGTTGTCTTTCGTTCGTCCCTCTCTCTCGCGATACTCCCGTCTCTCTCTGTCGTTCCGTCTCGAACGTTCCGTTGTGCAGCCTTTTCTATAGAATTTAGAACAGGCCTCAAGCTCATAGTCCGTGAGAATATTCCTCGGTGCGAGCAAACAAGCAGCGTTCAGGGGCCGCTACGCCCTGGCTACAGGCCTGCCAACTGTACCCTTTCAACCCTCCACGGGAAACCCAACTCTTGGAAATATTTTTCGCCGAGAACATAATTCCTGTTATCGGTTTATTTTCTTTAACGTGTTTGCGTGTTAAGTTCACTTGTTTGTGAAAATGTTTCGACTCGGTGGGAATTATATTCTGAAGGCCACTCGGTACGTTCACATAAACAAAATTATACCGAGCGCTTGTTATCTTCTGAAAAGT